AAGCAGGCATTCCATGAGGTCGTACGAGCGGAGCAAGGCGTACCGCTGTGCCTTCTTCGTTGGTATGTTATAAGCATGGAAAACCATGCTACATTATTGGAATTGAAGTTCAGCGATTGTACTGGCATTTCAATGGGATTGCCATGTCGTTTCGGGGGTGAAGACATCTCCAGTCGCCCCCTAACTCATTACAAGATAAAGGTTGACCATTAGGTTTGAAATCTTATGGCTACGACGGGTGGGTAAGATTTACCTTGGCACAGGTCTGTTATGTGTCATGAGCAGAGATCACATGTCATCTAGCAAGTCAGGGCTGATGGGAGCCGTTGCCAATGACGCTCAATTCATTTCACTAACGTGTTGGGTGACGTCTGCGACACATCATCTTTCTCTTCACACCGCGTTCATGCTTTGCGGATGAGAACAACAGAATCGCACGTTCGAGCGCATGCTAAAGGACAAGTGGGTGTTTTTCTGTTATTTCTTCGCAGTTGGAGAGGCACTCTTTAAAAACAGCGGTTCCTCATGGCATTCCATCTCCAACGGAATGACATTCCAAACGGAGCTGTTCTCTTGGGCTACAGGTGTTGAGATGAAACGTAATACATCGCGATTTATTCCAACATCCGCTCCTCCGATTCTCCGTCGCAAAGTGTAAACGTGGGCAGCAGTCGGCGTATCGGACCGCAAATCTTCGCTATACCAACGCCAATAAAATTATAATAACGAAAAAGCGAAGAGAATGAAATAGAGGACAAGCGAAATAGGTAACTTGCAGGGTTCAAGGTTAAAGTCAAAACACGATAAAGATTCACTGCAGTGGGAGTGATTCTATCTTCTAGCAATCAACGCCAGCGGGAAGAGGCGTCGAAAGAAAGGGCGAGCCACCAAAACCTCTCGTCACACCAACGCCACCGAAGAAAACAAGCAAACGCCACAGGGCGGAAGCAGCAACAACCCCTAAAACAAAGGATCTCAAACAGGCAAAGGCGATTACTCCGAAAAAGCTGCAGCAAACGGTGGATTTATTTGTATATTTTATGAAACGAATATAAGCAACCCTTTGACTACCGCTCGTGTGCGAGAGGAACGGGAAGGTGCGCGGTAGTGGAAATGCAAAAATCTTCCCATCAAAACTGTACAGCACTGAAGCTAAAGGATGATGGCTTGATCGCCCTTAGCCTTCACCCACACTCGGGACACTATTATACTCTTGCCACATTCATGTCATACTCCAGGCAGCCTCAAGGGTAACTATAGTTCAGATATGAGTGGCCGTATGGCGTGGGTGTAGCGCGCGTATCGCGTATCGATTGGTGGGCAGGGATTAGGAAAACAGCACCCGCGATCATTGCAGGCTGAGGCTGAGATTCATCAGTTCATGGGGCAAATGGGATCGGAGATAAAGAGGAAGTAAATCAAACAGTCGAGAGCGCTCTGAATAAGGACTTTCCGAGCATTATGTGAGCATAATGCGCAGAGAGAGTAAATTTGAAGGAGCGGGCTACGGTATGGCTTTAGAGCATTTAATAGACTATTTGTGCGCCCACCTCCATGGATCATAGTCCTTGCCATGTGGGAAGAACGGATTCGCAGTTGCAGTAGCGCGGCACATTCTCCGCTCAAAAATCCACGGAAATGGGGCGCGATTGTAGTGATACTCGTGTGCCGTCTTCAGACACAGGGTACAGCATGGGGATGTGCGAAATGTCGGTGTGAGTACGACCCCCCCCCTTTTCCACAAGAAAAAATCAACTATCAAAATAAATTTGTCTTACAAATACGACCCCCCTCCCAGAGCAAAAGTACGACTCCCCATGGCTTCACACATGGATGCTGTACCCTGTTCATACATACTCCGCCCGCACTGCCGCAGCCAGCCACACGCGCCGGGCCTTGGCATCAACACTAGTGCTGCACCTTGAGGATAACGCAAGCAGGGTATGAAGCCGGCACCGGGGTACGACTGCCCTCAGCCCGTTCCCGTGAACTTTTGAACCGAGAAAGTGGCCCGCTTGTGAGGCTGTGGACCCATTCACCTCACAAATGGCATGTACCAGGGTCAATGGAGGTGAGGGTACTGCTTAACTTTGAGCAATACCGCTGACAGTTGCCTGTCATATCAGTGATTTGAACTATCCTCTCAGGCCCCGTAGTAGGTCCCCGCACTACAACCCTCCTATTGACCATTCTGGTTGTGAGAGCGGAAGAGTGAGGAATCGTCTGGAAAAGGACGCATAGACCCTTTCTAAAAAGCCTACTGTTGGAAATCTTAGTGCACATTTCCGTACTTTCAGAAACCAGCAGCGACCCTCCCCGCTAGCCCTACCGTTCAAAAGAAGACTGCTCAAGCGATCACAAAACCGCAGGTAGAGAAAGTAGTAACACCGAAGCGAAGAGGAAGTTTGGTATGTTTCTCAGCATCTCTTCAGAAAAACGCTCGAATGAAAAATTTGTTTGAAGAAATGCTTGTCGGATCCAATAGTTACACCAGTCTCTGACGAATATCCTACTGAAGATTTACACGGTGATTGGATAGCTCCAGCAGTGATAGACGCTAAACCGAAGCTTCGGCGCAGAGACACTTACGACAAGGCTGCTGAAGCTTCTGATAAGGTGAGCACTTGAGCACCTGAATGGCATAATGATGACTTTCTCGGAAGCCACAGAATTTCTGAAACGTGAGGAGGGACGCTTGTCGAATGAGGGGCACCTTGGAGTTCCTGTCAACATGCGGACATATTTTTCAAACAATTGCAAACTCTCGTAAAGTTCTGAAAAGTTGGACCGCATTCACATAGGGCAGGATGATGTGAAGTAACTCTTGTGATCCAGGAGTATTAGGAGTCTAAGCCTAGACGGAAAGGGCTCCCGGGGATGTAAACCAAATCCATTGGAGAACCAGTTCTTGATGCTTGACGAAAATGTTAAAGGTTGCGTGGGAAGGGGAGTGCAGTCAGTGTAGTCCGCAATGGAAAATCTTGTATCATTTCCTAGCAGAAAGCTGTAGGCTAACGTCGCTGAGGCGCAATTTGCTCCGAAGACCCCCTTTTTCCAGTGACTCCATCTTCGGGTTCCGCGGCCCGTAGGGTAATGGGGGCTGATAAGAAATCAGCCAACTGAACTCGTACATGCGACTTTTTTAGCCTCCTCCCTCGAGTGCTAGAGGCTAGAGGATTCTCACTAGAGGCGTCTTCAACATCCTTTTGAGTCTTAATTGACAAGTCCTTGGCACTGGAAAACTGGCACTTGGAAAACTGGCACTTTTTCTTCCACATTTTTTCAACACCACCACCTACGCTTCCTGTTGTGGACCTTCAGAAAAAATCAATCTCGCTACTTCTGAGTTGTGTTCCAACTCTGAGCCCGTTCTCAGAAGTGGAGCCTGTAACAGTCAACATTCATCGATCCAAGCGCGAATTAATACAGGCGATAGTACAGACCAATAACGAAACCTGGAATTCCTTTGAGTGGCTTTTCTTAGTGTATCAGTCAAATCCACCACTCTATAGGTGGTTCGCTGCGGACGGCTGGGCGTGTCAGGCGGGATGAGTTTGGCGCAGTGACAGTTGTTGAAGATAGCAACTGATATGACTGTATCATGTCGTTCTATTACTCGTTTTCTACCACTTTTTGTCGCATGCGCGCTTCAACAAGAAGGCAGAGAACGGCTTTGACGGGGTGACACACTCATACTGCCTGACACGCCCAACCGTCCGCAGCGAACTAGACTGTACCTCATGAAAAAATATGCATGAAACCGTACCAACGTGGCTTCTTCATCGTTTGAACCGGTCCGCGGTAAGATGTGCGCAAATGCCCCTCCCCTCTTCCCAATCCCCAGCCAAACAGATCCCAAATTCGTATTTCTTTGCACGTTTTTTAACAAAGAAAAACATCATGTTGAGAGGAGTTTACGAGATGTTTTCTGGTTCAACTTGCGCCTTGAAGAAGAACATGCTTTGGGTTTAGAAGGAATAGAAATGAAGCAAACGAACTCTTATAGAACATCATCTCAAACCCAATACTTACTCCACGTACGGATGAATACCCAACACCGACGGATGAAGTAGAGAAGAGCATGCAGCTAGCACCCAGACAGACTGCTACGAAGGAAGTGCCTAAAGAGTCCGGGACAAAGAGTAGACCATCCGCTGGGACGCAGACTACGTCGAGTATGATGAAACCTAAAGAACAAGCAATGGGAAGCAGGGTGAGTAGAGCTTTGTGAATCTTCAAAGTTTGGAATCAATCGCTCCAATTGACAAGGGACAAGAAATTTAATGTTAAAGGTAGTTACACCACCAACGATTACAAAGACTTCGTCGAACTCAAAACCAAGCCGGCAAGCAACTGCCGTGACAGTGCAGAAGAAACAAGGCGGACAGGACCTAAAGAAAGGTGAAAAAACAGGAAGATTATTAGGGGATCTTTCAGGATTCATTGCATCTATTTATTTACAGGCTCTCTGAAGACTCGGTCAAAAAGACGTCGAAACTAAGGAGCAGGTTTCTTTTGCGAACATTTCTCTTTACTTTGCAAATACAGTGTCAATGAGTAAGACAAACGTTTTCAGATTGGAACCTCACAGAGTCGGTGATCCACCAACCACAATTGGGACATTGTTCATTAGTGGCTTACATTAATTAACAGTAAAAATTAACGATTGGCTAGTCGGAGCAAATAAAAAATCACAGCATAATGTGAATAATTTTCATTAGAATGCTCTTGGATGTCTTAGTAATACGGTACGCATCCTCGAGCACTGCCTCACTCCCGTGGCAGCACACTGTTTAATAACGATTTTGCGCAAGGAGTCTCCAGAGGCTTTTTGAGCGAGTTTAAATAGTGCAGTGTACAGCATCGTGATGTGTAGAAGGCGGTGTTAGTACGATACACTCCAGAAAAGGTACGCCTCCCCCCCCTTTCCGGCTCTAATTTTCTGCTCTGACAAGGAAGATTAGATACGTAGCGACTCGCAAGCGTTTGCAGCTGCTTTACGATTCCATGACAAATTAGCCGTGGAGCCGGGCCGGGTGGGAATCGCGGGGCTTTTTCTGGTGGCTCTTTTGGGTGTGGGGGTTGAAGCAATGTCTTTACTGTTATGTTTTCTACCTACTCGCAATCCGAACCTTGCTCCATTCGTGAAATATTTCGGATGGGTTACGGACGCGTTAGTGGTTAATCGCAAGTGAATTTTCATGCTTCAGACGAGAATAACTTCTTTCAAACGTAATCTTTCAACAAACCAAACCCCATCGGAACGTCCAATTCTTCCCAACACAGCAGTTTTTTAAAGATCTGCTAGTTTAAAAGATATTTTAGATGGGTCACCCTTGGGCGACATTCTGACAACTGTGAGCCACTCAAAAGTTTGACTCCTTCTGTGCCACTGTGAGGATACTCACTCGCAAATTTCATTATGCCTTCAAAACACATATTTCCGTTGAACTGAGCCAAGCATAATTTGGTTACGATTTGATTATCATAGATCGATCTGACCCGAGTGCGTGCATTACGCTTATACGCAGGGGTGATGGAAAGGTGTAGCTTCTGTTTCTGAGGGATTTTTCTCCATGCAAACAGATGTTCGTTCAGGGTTTGAAATGGTCGATACGCACGAACCTCCTTGAGATGTATTATATACAGGAGGGGGGGGGGCAAGAAAAAAGTCACTTTTCTTCATTGACTTTCGAGGCGCTATAAATTACACTTTAAATTCTGATCGGACATTTTCACCACCATATTAAAGAGCATATTAAATACTATCATGACACTCCGCCACAGCCTTCTGGACGAGCGCCATCGAGAGATTCTGGCACGCGACCGCGATGTGGTGCCTGAGATCAGCGAGATAGTCGATTTCTCCGCCACCGTAGACCACCCTATTGAACTCCGCCCGAACCGGGTAATTGAGGGGATTCAGGTCAGGTGACCTACTTGGATATTTCATCTTCTTTAGGTACTCAGCCCCCTTCCATTTGATGTCCTAGACCGTGGACGACTGTTGTCGCGCAACAGCTCGATGTTGAAGATCTTCCAAATCGAGAGTATTGGTCTCCAGGTAGCTATCCATAGTTGACTCCATACTAGAAGTTCCGCATGTTTGGAGGTGACGTGAATTCCAAAGATCTTCTCCAGTCAGGCTGCGACTGGAGATGAGTTCATAGTGTACTATGAAGGACAGCAGAAACGTGATGCGGCGAGAGCCAGCTCCTGCTTATAGAAGGAACATCTTGGGTATCTTCCGCCCTGGTACTCGTATCCACGTCCTCTGTCTGGGCAGCGAAAACTTTGCTGATATGTGACTCGGTCGAAGTGACTTTTTTTTGCCCCCCCCCCCCCCCCCTGTAGTATTTACGTGTTTACGATTTTCATTGCCTAACTTTTGATATTGCTGACCAGTTGTTTTAGTATTTTGTAGTCTTCCTTACATCCGGGTCCTCTGCAGCTTTCCCCCGCTCCATCAAACTTAGCGATGACACTTTTGTGCTGTTTGGTGCTCACCGACCCTGCGTTTACGACCTCTCCCCTCCCCAGCTGTCAAGTAGACCCACTACCCCGATGGGATTCGCACAACGATGCTGTACGCTAGGTGGCAGGGTTCCAGTTTGCTGGTATGAGATCAGCAAGTACGAAAACCCGAACACTTAAAGGCAGCGCCATGTTTATTTGATGTTCCACGTCCTTCTCTGGATATCATAGCCCTCCCTATGAGGATGCAGTATGTACTAGTTTTGCATCTCAAAAAGGCGAGAGGATAGCGCCGTTCGCTAGTGAAGAGTCGGCCGCCCCGCCCACCTGGCCAGCATAGGGTTCTATATAGGGCATTTTCCATGATTTTTTTTCTGCTTTTTTCACTACTGGATCACGTATTATATGAGCTCCACCAGTCGCCCGAATGATGCCGAGCTCTCCTCCTTCTCTTTAGTTTTCTTAACTTCGGAGGACACTTCATAATGGAAACGAAATTTGTTCACTCTTTTAGCTGCTCATTCTGCGCTGTTTTGATCAAATCGTAATAGATGGAGCAACCCACGCGCGAGCTCACGTCCAGCTGCCACAGAGCAGCTTGTGCAGTGGTTAAGGGTGTACTAAATGGCGGTCTTATATAGGGTAAAGGTATTATCACAATGTCAAACAAACAACATCATAGTTTGTTAATTAATTGGATTAGCTTGCAGTTTTGCTAGCGGTTGTATCCTCCTCTCTTGCTGCGTGCTCCTACTCAAGCGCGCGCTTCGCATCCCCTCACCGTATCCTTTTCATCACCTGTTCCCCCTGTCTCCCTGCCCTGCACGTGCGGCTTGGGTAAGCAGATGCAGGGGAAAGAAGCAGGGGGAGAGCCCCCCCCCGCCCTGAGCTAACGTTCAGCTACCACAGCTTGAGCAGCTTGTGCAATGGCTGGGAGTGTGCTCCTACTCAAGCGTGCGCCACGCCCCCTCACCGTACCTCCTCCCCTCTAATTCCTTCCCCTGACGTGCACTGGTCCCTAAACACGTGCAGGGGAATGAAACAGAGGGTAGGGGTCCATTGATTGTCCCCTCCCTCACCCCCTCCCCCTGCCCCCGCACGAGCACACGTCCAGCTGCCACGTGAGCAGCTCGTGCAATGACACGGAGTGTACCGAATGGCTGTCTTATATAGCGGGAGCTGCTATTTTTGACGCTAATGAATTCGAGAGGGGAACGCGCCTCTATGTCGCTTATCCAAACCAAGGCTTAAGCTCGAGGTGCAAGAGAGACATCGAGGAATAGGCTCACAGAGCAGACATACTGACGTTGTGTACTGAGGCTCGCTTCGATTAGGAGACCGGACAAAGGGCTCTGCTGAGCGGCCCTTCCCTCTACGTGAAGCCGTTTTTCGCGCTTCTTTTTTACTCGAATGTCCTAGCGACCACACGCGCACAGTTCTACCCTCAACGTGCGATGGCTAGGTGTGATTTTATTTCACACGCAACCGCTACAAAATACTGCAGACTGGAAAAATATTTGGAAACTGAGCAGGAGGGTTGGGTACGAAAAAAACAAAACACAGCTGTCGGTCGCTGCCACAAGACTGGAGAGCTTTGTCTTTGTTCTATTCTTCGGGTTCATGTCACGTCGCAAATATAAGAACCGCGGAGCCGAAAGGGCATATTCGTTTTTTCCATTAATCGAAGCTTACCTCAAAGGAGTAGTTGGAACTTTTCGACAATCTCGTGGCTATCTAGACGAATTGAGGACAGTCTTGTACAGGTAGTCTAGCCCTCAGTCTCTAACATAGTCCAGCGTCTACGTGGCATTCAGCAGGCGCGATGGAATACGCCATCCGTGCGTAGGACTTGCTCAGCTAAACATAGTTTGATGCTAAAACGGTTTACTATACGACGAAGCATGCACATGACGTTTACGGTTGATCGGTTGCTTACGGCTAACTAGCTTCGTCAAAAGGAAACTTGTTGTGTAGTCGTAAGTGTGTTTGGTGAATGTCCGTGGTGAGTCAGTGCGTGTTTGTGTCCAATTAAAGACAATTACCGCGATGAAGTGGTCTTCATTTACTCCGTGCAGAAATAACTCCATTGTTTGAAGTGTCAGGCGCTCGCGTATACTTATACTTTGTCGGCACGTAGCCGTACACGCTCATGCGCGCGCCAGTGCGCGGGGAGGATGCGATACGATCTAGCGTTCCCAGCGGTCACGCGAGCGTAACGCTAGAGTAGCGTAGCGTACAGCTAGCGTATACCGCCAGCAGTTTCTCCAGCTGTTTCGACACGGCAACTGCGTGTTTTGCTAGCGTTTTGGCCAGGTAGCGGCAGGGGAGTAGAGACTATGGGAGAGCTGGAGGGTACAAAACACATCGATTGCGCGTCTCTCACTCGCCCTCAGTCTCTACAATACACATCGATTCCGCGTCTCTGACGGCCACATAGTCTCTACTATACACATCGACTCCGCGTCTCTGACGGCCACATAGTCTCTACTCCCTCTGCCTCGCTGCAAAACCGCCATGCAAACTCTGGAGAAAACCTGGCGGTACGCTAGCGTTACCCTGGTGACGCTGGGAAGCGTCTAAGATCGAATCGCACCCCGTCGCCCCGGCACCCGCTGGCGTGACGGCTGGTAAGCTCTAAACGCTACGCTGCCCGCAAAGAGTAAACGCCCCAGCCTTAAGCTACGAACGTAGACTCCACATAAACAGAGAGTATACGCAACTTCGTCCGGCTTAAAACGGCGAGATTTAAAGTAAAAGGTTTCAGACGAACATGTGAGTCGTGGCACCGCGTAGCGAATCATCGGTCGCAATGCGTCTGAGTTGCTCGCTAATAAGAGGACAACTGCTCACAAGAATCAATTCCACAAATCAGCCCGCTGCACACGCTGTCCGCTCAGCGCCTTCTGGTCACTTTGCTATTTCGCTATCCGCCTTTCCCATAGGCAGAATTAAGCGCAAACCTTACGCACTCGATTGACACAATCGAATACAATTCAGGCTTTTCAGAGTTCCATCCGTCTCTTAAGC